AAATATGAAAGGTGATGGACTCAATGTTGCGAATTGGCCATTGCGAGCCACATCAGCCAGAAGAAACCGATGAGTATGACTCGATTATCAGCCTAGGAACGCGACGGACAACAACGCGCTTGGAATGCAAACGGTGGGAAGATAAAAAACCAAAATGCAATTAAAAACCATCAATCGTTAACTATAAACTCCAAAGTTTTCATTGAAATATTGTGATACAAACACAAACAATTCCGCTTTGAGGTTCGCAAGCCAATTTGCCAAGCCTCTGTAGACTAAAGATACAGGCTCTTGAATGGCCATTACTTACAAAATAAACGCTTTTATCTCTGGCACTCCATGCAGCATAACATAATTCATCACGCGGTTACACGCGCAGGCACGCACGCGCGCGTGTGCGTGTAATCCACACAGGCATCGCAAGCGAAGCACTTCGGCCATGCAGGTATTTGTTTAAACCAAGAAAACAACTCGACTCTTGCAAATGGAGCGCACGGGTCGCTTTCGGTGGTGGACGTTTCTCAACACGTAGACACGCGCACGTCAAGCACATACACTGCGATGAAGTATAACCACCCGTGATCCTGCAGTGCCTTGAACGTGGGGTTGATGGAGTTTGCAGGGATTGCAGTGTCCATAAGACGCATCCAACTAACAGAACGGGAGGCAGGACATTTATTTCAATGTTATCATTTCTTCGCAGGCGTGGGCTTTCCCCAGTGGCATCTTAACGTCTGTTTTTTTCTTAACGTGTGTGTATGTTGAACTTCTTTCGCACCGTACGTAGCCAACCGTGCCAATCGGAGGTGCAGGGCTGGGGGGAGGACAGCAGGCTAAACACAAAAAGTTTAACACGTAGGATTTGGCGACCAATATTATTCATAATAAACGTTTTTGGGTTAGAATGCGTTATTTATAAATGTGTCATAACCCTCCACCACCCGACACGGCCAATCAGCAAAGAAGTGTCACGTTGACAAAAGACAAACATTGTAAATGTTGTTGTTTCACTCTTTCCAACACACACCGGTGGGCTAAAGTAGCGAACTATTTGTCTTTTGTCAACGTGACACTTTTTTGCTGATTGGCCGTGTCGGGTGGTGGAGGGTTACGACACATTTATAAATAACGCGATCTAACCCAAAAACGTTTATTATAAACACAAAAAGCAGTTGCAAAGAAACGAGTTTTTCATAGAGATTTCAAAAGTGCACAACTGCAGTGGTTTCCTAATGTCGGAAGGTGCTCGTGAGAGGAGGCGGCTATGAAGGTGGCTGGGTGGTCACAGAGGCGACACCACTAAAGCGACCCTGAGTTGAAGCCCGGCTGTGATGAAACCGGGTTGTCAAGGTGTATGGAGTTCACGATGTTGGCCTCGGGTCACGTTGCCAATGACTGCAACAAAACAACAATCATGTTCAGAGTGTTCTTGGTTCTTTCGGTAAAGTCACGTAAAAGGGAAATAATAAAATAATGAAAATATAAAACAATAAAAATTCTCACGACGTTTCGATTGCAACACAAGCAATCATCATCAGGTGTGAAATCCACAGCAAGAAATTTTGAAAAAAAGAAACGTCGTGAGAATTTTTTATTGTTTTATATTTTTACTAGCTGTACTACCCGGCTTCGCCCGGGACTTGTATCCACCACGGCCGGCCGCCTTTGTCTCCCCAGTGGCGATGTTAATACGCCACACCAGTTACTCGTTTTGCGGCTGAGGTCCCTCCCTCACCACTCTCCCTCCCTCACCACTGTCCCTCCCTCACTCTCCCTCCCTCACCACTCTCCCTCCCTCACCACTCTCCCTCCCTCACCACTCACGCACGGCCGCCTTTGTCTCCCCAGTGGCGATGTTAATACGCCACACCAGTTACTCGTTTGAGGCTGAGTCGACCTAGGGGAGGTTCAAATAATCGTCACCGGTGGTGGCCGTGAGCGGGAATCGAACTCGGTTCGCCGGGTTGGTAGCGCAGCGTAGCGTTAACCACTACACCCACCACTCCTCACACACCACACACGCACAGACACACACACAGACACACACACAGACACACGCAGACACACACAGACAGACACACACACACCAGACACACAGACAGCACGCTAAGCACTACACTACCGCTCCCCACACACCACACACAGACACACACACAGACACACACACAGACACACACACACAGACACAGACAGCACGCTAAGCACTACACTACCGTTCCCCCTACACAACACACGCGCGCGCGTCCATAGGTACACATACACGCGCTTGCTGCAGACACACACGACTTTCAGGGTGCGCACGGCAGTAACGACTGCAATAATAAAGCGGCAATGCTGCGCGAGGAACGCCTTAGACCAGCAACACATTTGTGTAATGCGAGCGTAAACACACAAACACATACACACACATACGTACACACACATACACACAAACACATACACACACATACACACACATACATACACACAGACATACACATACACACAAACACACACATACATACACACAAACACATACACAATACACACAGACATACATGCAGACACACAGAGACACACATAACACACATACATACACACACATACATACACAGAAACACATACACACACACATACATACACACACATACATACACACAAACACAAACACACACGTACATACACACATACATACAGACACACAGACATAGACATAAACACATAAAAAAACCCACATACATACACACACAGACATACACACAAACACATACACACACATACATACACACACACATACATGCACACAAACACATGCACACACGTACATACACACATACATACAGACACGCAGACATACACATAAAGACATACAAAAAAAACCGACATACATACACACACACATACACACAAACACATACACACACATACATACACACATACATACATAGAGACACACAGACATACACATAAACACATACACACATACACATGACCCGGCTTCGCCCGGGACTTGGATCCACGATGGCCGGCCGCCTTTGTCTCCCAGTGACGATGTTCACACACGACAGCAGTTACGCGTTTGAGGCTGAGTCGACCTAGGGGAGGCCCAGGTCCGTTTCAAATAATCGTCAGCGGTGGTGGGCGTGAGTTGGAATGGAACTGGGGTCGCTCAACCAGCTTAATGACTATTTGTACAAAGAACATATAAAGAATCGATTATAATAACCAGGCTACAGTCCACATTATAGACTGGCAGTACACGCACTCAGCTTCATAAGCAGGCTAGAGTGTACATGATAGAGTGGCAGTACGCTCACCGAGTTTAATAAGCAGGCTACAGTCTACATGATAGACTGGCAGTACGCTGACCCAGCTTAATGACTATTTGTACAGTGAACATTTAAGTAATCGATTGTTGGCGCGTTGGGTTTAAAAGTAATATAAATTGCACACATTGTGGTGGGGGTGGAGTGAATAGTAGGAAAAACTTTGAATTTACCTCAGAGTGGCGTGGTGGGTGTCGAGGCCTAGTAGCGTGCAGAGCCTGCGGCCTCGCCAAAATTGTCCAGCCGGCAAAGGCAGGGTACGGGTGGCGTGCCTTCCCCCCCCCCCTCAGCGCTCCAACAATACTGTGTAATGGCTATTATTTAATTATTTACGGAGCCTATGAAAGTGGCGAAGGCGTGGCTAGCCGTTGGCAGGGGCAACTGCCGTCCAATGAAACTGCAGCCCTTGGCGAAGGCGTCGCTAGCCGTTGCCAGGTCCAATGAAAGCGGCGAAGGCGTCGCTAGCCGTTGCCAGGGGCAACCGCCGTCCAATGAAAGTGCGTATGGTCCGAAATCCACACACAGACAGACAGACATGCACGATTTTATATATATAGATTATTTTTATTATTTCCCTTCTATACGTGACTTTACCGAAAAAACCAAGAATATGAATCCCTGCAGTCACGAAAACTTTAAATCAAAATTTATGTTCAGAGTGTTTGCTTTCTTTCCGTCTTCATTTAAGTCAGCTAAATTCCACCTCTGAGGATTACAATAAATGTGGATTATATTGCCACGTGATGAACGCTGTTGTTTAGCAGGGTGTCTGGAAAAGTGCAAACCCCTTAATTGTGTGCCGGTTAAAAGTCATAATTGTAATTGCTATCACGGTGTAGTCTTAAATACAATTTTTATTTTATTTCACCAGGTAAAGCCCACTTAATCTTTATTTCTCTTTTTCCAAAGGGACCTGGTTATTACAAATGATAGCTCAACGAAGTGGCTCATCACGTGGAAATGTACATCAGCCAAATATGTGGAGGGAAAAACTGGAGCACTCGGAGACAAATCCACGCTACCACGGGGAGAGAGAGAGACATGCAAACTTCAAAAACACAACAGGCGTCAGGGTTGGGACCGAACCCACGACCTCCTGCATACCGGGTGAAGTCCATACTCTTAGGTTCTTTCGGTAAAGTCACGTAGGTACAACATAAATTAAATCACGACGTTTCGGGTGCAACACAAGTGCCCGTCATCAAGTGGAAACCACCACAGCAATAAACAATTGATGAAGTTGTTTCCACTTGATGACGGGCACTTGTGTTGCGCCCGAAACGTCGTGATTTAATATATTTTCTACCTACGTGACTTTACCGAAAGAACCAAAGAGGATGGATTCCTGCAGTCATGAAAACTTCAAATCTAGACCGGGTGAGGTCGTTAACAATCCGACGGCTGACTGTTCTCTAACGCAGGGCGGGGACACTGAATGGGCGCTTCGTGTAGAGACGCTATGATCATACAAGTGGAATGCAATTGGGCAAAAGACAAAATCATAACAACGATACATTAAACAAACACGGTGCTGATCACAAGCCCAAGCACGAATCTTCTGAACAGAGTCTCGGCGGATCTGAGCCTGTCGTGTTAATTCACGTTCCGCTGGTCGTGGGGGACCGGTCTCTCCAAAGGCGGGGCAAATGTCGACTTTTCACAAAGTGGTACTCAATTGTATCGACCAAAGGGGCGATGATGGGCCGCGTCAACGTCCAACCGTGATTTGAACTCGCAGCTTTCCCACTGTCGGCAGGTGCCCTCACCCCAACGACGCCCAGGCAGGCTGAGCGTTGTCATTAATCACAACTCGACTGCGTAAAGGACTGTGATATTATTATGAAAACATTTTCAAGGTGACAACCTCGCAATTCTCTGCCTCGCGGTCACGTGATGAGATCAGTGACAATAAAAACACTCACAAAAGGCAGATCGTTATCGAGTTAATGCATCGCACTCAGTGTGGCGTATCGCTCAGTTCGGCGAATTCCACCCGTGAGAATTAATTTTGGTTTTAATTGCCACGTGACAAACTTGTTACGCACCGCGCGGTTTCAAACCCGCCGGTTATCCGGCGACATGTCGTGACTCAGCAGCGAGATGATTTTACCCAGAAAAACGCCACAATCCCAAGCGCTCTTCTTTTGCAGGAGGTTCAAGCCAGGCTGTCACAGCGTGCGCCGGCGGACGCTGTGTTTCCCCGAGTGAGTAATTTGCCTTTATGTGAATTTATATGGAAAACTAGACTACGGTTAAACTCTTCTTGGAAATAACTTTGAAAGAGAGAAAGAGAGAGAGAGAGTCAAGAGAAGATGGTTAAGTGAGGCCCACTGAGCTGTACAGCTCTTTTTCAGAAGGGACCTGGCGATCACAAAATATAGCTCAACGAAGTGGCTTATCGCGTGGAAATTTATAGCAGCCAAATACTCTAAACGCGTAATGTTGATGCTACATGTGGAGGGGAAAAACCGGAGGACCCGGAGAAAAATCCACGCGACCACGGGGAGAGAGAAAGACACGCAAACTCCAAATATACAGCAGCAGGCGTCAGGGTCGGGCAAGAACCCACGACCTCCTGTGTACCAGGCAAGGGAGTTAACATCTCGCCACCGTGGCACCGTTACTTACATATCATCCCGAGTGTAATCACCTTCAACTTCTTAATTAGTGAGGTGCTGAAGAAGAAAGAAAAACAGACAAAATGTCAAAGTGTTGTCAATGTTTCTTTCTTGATGATCACGCAGTTTGTGGCCATTACACTCAGGATGGCCTCCCAATGATACGGACGTCAATAGCAGTGACTGAGTCTGTATTTAACAACTTCGGAAGCAACAACAATGCCTGTCAGTAACCATGACCATCTCTGTCTCTCTCGCTCCTGCATGTCAGACAATGTCTCCTTCACGTATCAGTCTCGCCAGAGAAAAAAAAAACATAAAATTGTTCATTACACAACCCATCAGCTGCACGGCCTTCTGGGAGTGCATGCTGAGAGCAACATCGATTCAACCAGCCCCACAGAACCAACCAGTCCCACAGAACCAGTCCCACAGAACCAGCCAGTACCACAGAACCAACCAGTCCCATAGAACCAACCAATCCCACAGAACCAACCAGTCCCACAGAACCAGTCCCACAGAACCAACCAATCCCACAGAACCAACCAGACCCACAGAACCAACCAGTCCCACAGAACCAACCAATCCCACAGAACCAACCAGACCCACAGAACCAACCAGTCCCACAGAACCAACCAATCCCACAGAACCAACCAGTCCCACAGAACCAGTCCCACAGAACCAACCAGTCCCACAGAACCAACCAGACCCACAGAACCAACCAGTCCCACAGAGCCAACCAGTCCCACAGAGCCAACCAGTCCCACAGAGCCAACCAGTCCCACAGAACCAACCAGTCCCACAGAACCAACCAGTCCCACAGAACCAACCAATCCCACAGAACCAACCAGTCCCACAGAACCAACCAGCCCCACAGAACCAACCAGCCCCACAGAACCAACCAGTCCCACAGAACCAACCAGTCCCACAGAACCAACCAGTCCCACAGAACCAACCAGTCCCACAGAACCAACCAGTCCCACAGAACCAACCAGTCCCACAGAACCAACCAGTCCCACAGAACCAACCAGCCCCACAGAACCAACCAGTCCCACAACCAACCAGTCCCACAGAACCAACCAGCCCCACAGAACCAACCAGTCCCACAGAACCAACCAGTCCCACAGAACCAACCAGTCCCACAGAACCAACCAGCCCCACAGAACCAACCAGTCCCACAGAACCAACCAGCCCCGCAGTTCCAACCAGTCCCACAGAACCAACCAGCCCCACAGAACCAACCAGTCCCACAGAACCAACCAGTCCCACAGAACCAACCAACCCCACAGAACCAACCAGCCCCACAGAACCAACCAGTCCCACAGAACCAACCAGTCCCACAGAACCAACCAGTCCCACAGAACCAACCAGTCCCACAGAACCAACCAGCCCCACAGAACCAACCAGTCCCACAGAACCAACCAGTCCCACAGAACCAACCAGTCCCACAGAACCAACCAGCCCCACAGAACCAACCAGTCCCACAGAACCAACCAGTCCCACAGAACCAACCAACCCCACAGAACCAACCAGCCCCACAGAACCAACCAGTCCCACAGAACCAACCAGTCCCACAGAACCAACCAGTCCCACAGAACCAACCAACCCCACAGAACCAACCAGTCCCACAGAACCAACCAGTCCCACAGAACCAACCAACCCCACAGAACCAACCAGTCCCACAGAACCAACCAGCCCCACAGAACCAACCAGACCCACAGAACCAACCAGTCCCACAGAACCAACCAGCCCCACAGAACCAACCAGTCCCACAGAACCAACCAGTCCCACAGAACCAACCAGTCCCACAGAACCAACCAGTCCCACAGAACCAACCAGTCCCACAGAACCAACCAACCCCACAGAACCAACCAGCCCCACAGAACCAACCAGTCCCACAGAACCAACCAGTCCCACAGAACCAACCAGTCCCACAGAACCAACCAGTCCAACAGAACCAACCAATCCCACAGAACCAACCAACTCCACAGAACCAACCAATCCCACAGAACCAACCAGTCCCACAGAACCAACCAGTCCCACAGAACCAACCAGTCCCACAGAACCAACCAGTCCCACAGAACCAACCAATCCCACAGAACCAACCAGTCCCACAGAACCAACCAGTCCCACAGAACCAACCAGACCCCACAGAACCAACCAGCCCCACAGAACCAACCAGTCCCACAGAACCAACCAGTCCCACAGAACCAACCAATCCCACAGAACCAACCAGTCCCACAGAACCAACCAGTCCCACAGAACCAACCAACCCCGCAGTTCCAACCCAGCCCGGGTTTGGAGTCTGTACACTGCAACACCGCCACCATCGTCACCACCGCGCGTCCGGACCGTGGCTGCAAGGTCGCCTCTGCCGCGCATCAACGGGCAACACCAAGTCTGGCTGCAACACGGCGGCGTGTTTGGAGTTACGGGTTGCGGTTGATTTTTGCAAGAGTCCGAAACGAAACTCGAATCAAAGTCAGATCAATTTCCTCCGTTGGCCACCGCGGGCAAAGGCGACGTTGGTGCTGCTACTGCTGGCGTTGTTGTTGGTGTTATTGTTATGAATCTCACACACGCAGTAATTAGGCGCATTAATCAGCAGCGGCGTGCGCGCCCGTCACGACGGGAACCCGGCCCTCGCACCCCATCTCCCCATCGCCCCCCATCCCCCCATCGCCCCATCGCCACCCATCTCCCCATCGCCACCCATCTCCCCATCACCGCGCATCTCCCCATCGCCACCCATCTCCCCATCGCCACCCATCTCCCCATCGCCACGCATCTCCCCAACGCCACACATCTCCCCATCGCCACCCATCTCCCCATCGCCACCCATCTCCCCATCACCGCGCATCTCCCCATCGCCACCCATCTCCCCATCGCCACCCATCTCCCCATCGCCACGCATCTCCCCATCGCCACGCATCTCCCCATCGCCACGCATCTCCCCATCGCCACACATCTCCCCATCGCCACCCATCTCCCCATCGCCACCCATCTCCCCATCACCCCCCATCTCCCCATCGCCACCCATCTCCCCATCGCCACCCATCTCCCCATCGCCACCCATCTCCCCATCGCCCCGCATCTCCCCATCGCCACCCATCTCCCCATCGCCCCCCATCGCCACGCATCTCCCCATCGCCCCGCATCTCCCCATCGCCACCCATCTCCCCATCGCCACCCATCTCCCCATCGCCACCCATCTCCCCATCACCCCCCATCTCCCCATCGCCACCCATCTCCCCATCGCCACCCATCTCCCCATCGCCCCGCATCTCCCCATCGCCACCCATCTCCCCATCGCCCCCCATCGCCACGCATCTCCCCATCGCCCCGCATCTCCCCATCGCCACCCATCTCCCCATCGCCCCGCATCTCCCCATCGCCCCGCATCTCCCCATCGCCACCCATCTCCCCATCGCCACCCATCTCCCCATCGCCACGCATCTCCCCATCGCCACGCATCTCCCCATCGCCACGCATCTCCCCATCGCCACCCATCGCCCCCCATCTCCCCATCGCCCCCCATCTCCCCATCGCCACGCATCCCCCCATCGCCACCCATCTCCCCATCGCCACGCATCTCCCCATCGCCACCCATCTCCCCATCGCCACCCATCTCCCCATCGCCACCCATCTCCCCATCGCCACGCATCTCCCCATCGCCACCCATCTCCCCATCGCCACGCATCTCCCCATCGCCACCCATCTCCCCATCGCCACGCATCTCCCCATCGCCACCCATCTCCCCATCGCCACCCATCTCCCCATTGCCACCCATCTCCCCATCGCCCCCCCATCTCCCCATCGCCCCCCATCTCCCCATCGCCACGCATCCCCCCATCGCCACCCATCTCCCCATCGCCACCCATCTCCCCATCGCCACCCTTCTCCCCATCGCCCCCCATCTCCCCATCGCCCCCCATCTCCCCATCGCCCCCCATCTCCCCATCGCCCCCCATCTCCCCATCGCCCCCCATCTCCCCATCGCCACCCATCTCCCCATCGCCACCCTTCTCCCCATCGCCCCCCATCTCCCCATCGCCCCCCATCTCCCCATCGCCCCCCATCTCCCCATCGCCCCCCATCTCCCCATCGCAACGCATCCCCCATCGCCCCCCATCTCCCCATCGCCCCCCATCTCCCCATCGCCACGCATCCCCCATCGCCCCCCATCTCCCCATCGCCACCCATCTCCCCATCGCCCCCCATCTCCCCATCGACCCCCATCTCCCCATCGCCACGCATCCCCCCATCGCCACCATTCTCCCCATCGCCCCCCATCTCCCCATCGCCACGCATCCCCCCATCGCCCCCCATCTCCCCATCGCCCCCCATCTCCCCATCGCCACGCATCCCCCCATCGCCACCCTTCTCCCCATCGCCCCCCATCTCCCCATCGCCCCCCATCTCCCCATCGCCCCCCATCTCCCCATCGCCCCCCATCTCCCCATCGCCACGCATCCCCCCATCGCCCCCCATCTCCCCATCGCCACGCATCCCCCCATCGCCACGCATCCCCCCATCGCCACCCATCTCCCCATCGCCCCCCATCGCCCCCCATCTCCCCATCGCCACCCATCTCCCCATCGCCCCCCATCTCCCCATCGCCACCCATCTCCCCATCGCCCCCCATCTCCCCATCGCCCCCATCTCCCCATCGCCACCCATCTCCCCATCGCCACCCATCTCCCCATCGCCCCCCATCTCCCCATCGCCCCCATCTCCCCATCGCCACCCATCTCCCCATCGCCCCCCATCTCCCCATCGCCCCCCATCTCCCCATCGCCCCCCATCTCCCCATCGCCACCCATCTCCCCATCGCCCCCCATCTCCCCATCTCCCCATCGCCACCCATATCCCCATCGCCACCCATCTCCCCCCATCTCCCCATCTCCCCATCGCCCCCCATCTCCCCATCGCCACCCATCGCGACCCATCTCCCCATCGCGACCCATCTCCCCATCGCCACCCATCGCGACCCATCTCCCCATCTCCCCATCGCCCCGCATCTCCCCATCGCCACCCATCGCCCCATCACCCCCCATCGACCCGCATCAGCCGTGTTCCCACGTGGCAGTCCCGTGCGGTGCCCCCCTCTCTGCGTACCCAGCAAAGGTCCCGAGGCTTCTTTGAAGCAGCGCCCCTGCCACTTGACGATGTTTGGCCGACTCCATAAGTGAGCGGTGGGGGGGGGGTGTTGTTGTTGCTGTTGTTGTTGTTGTTGTTTAACACGTAGTGAGGTTTTCGCGACCATAGTTATTCTCGGTACTAAAGGTTTTTTTTTTTGGTTGGGGTTGGATTAGGTCGCGTAAATATGAGTGTTGTTTACTCACCACCACCACCCGACACAGCCAATAAGTAAAGTTTGACACGTCAACAAGACGTGTAACTACTACATCAGCACACCGGTTGTGCTGGAGAGTAAACCCACAACATGAACAATTTGTGTCCGACGTTTCGCGGGTGATTACAACCAGCTTCATCAGGCGATGTGCCAGGAATCGCGCTGCGTCGTGGTGGACAAACAACCCGCGGTCCTCCCGCAGCAAGCAGCGCACCACCTTGTGTCACAACAGCCCCGTACGATGACTTCACAGAACTACGTCTGAAGTTGCTGCGATAGACCTCTTGGTCCACAGCAGGGAGCACACCTTTTTTATATGTCCCTAGTTTAATTATTTGAACGTGTAACCTTTTGTACGGGAGCCTATGGCTCCCACCATCAGTACCACGTGTGATGTTGATGGTGGTGTTGATAGTGGTGGTGTTGATAATGGTGGTGTTGATAATGGTGGTGTTGATGGTGGTGTTGATGGTGGTGATGTTGATGGTGGTGTTGATGGTGGTGGTGTTGATGATGGTGGTGTTGATGGTGGTGGTGATGATGGTGGTGTTGATGGTGGTGTTGATGATGGTGGTGGTGTTGATGGTGGTGTTGATGGTGGTGTTGATGGTGGTGGTGTTGATGGTGGTGGTGTTGATGATGGTGGTGTTGATGATGGTGGTGTTGATGGTGGAGCCATGTATAAGTTCCCACTTTCCTCCGTCTTGTGCCAATATGCTCAAGTAGTGCGACATCTTTCTGGCAACGATCTCTGATCCCAGCCAGCCATTCCTCTTCGGTCTTCCTCTCTCTCCAGTTCCCTCCATTTTCCGACCAACACACTTTAAAGTTCCCTGTTGTTGCCCATCCTACACATGTGCTGCTTCCCTTCCCATCGCTGCCTGCACCATCAGGTCTTCTTCTCTGTGCAGCCTTTTTCTTAGTTGGTGCATCGGGGGTCACTCTTTGGGCCCAGCTTAGAGATGGGATGAAAGTGGACACACGACGTGAAATAGGAACGCTGATTAGGCCGGAGCGGCGCTCAGCGAGGGCAGAAGAGCCGCCGGTGGGTGCACTCAAGATCCCGAGCGGGCGACCGATTCCACCCCCCCCCCCCCCCCCCAACACGTTTTAACAGATCGTCACCACCGGTCCAGAAGGCACCGTCCCGTCGTCGTGTGCCCTCTCGTCTCGGTGCAAGCAAAAACTAAAACCCCCGACTCGTTAAGAAGAGTGCCGCAGAAAAATAGTTGGGGTCAGCGGCGGGTCATTCGCATCGACACGCACGCCACGCTCACTCACTCGGACAACACACTCACTCACATACTCACTCACACACTCACTCGCACACACACTCACTCAACAACAACAACCGCCATTCGCCACTAAGTGGCGGTGACGTCACCACGATGCTTGTGCCATGCCAAGTGCACCTTGAGGCCACATGAAGTGTCGAACGCCCGCTGGCAGGAGGTCACGGGGCAGACCCAGGTGCCACGGGTCGACTGACCGAGATGACCGAGATGACTGGCTGATGCACCACCTGTGCCCCCTACTGTACCAACTTGCTGTGCTTTAGCCACCCGGCGCTCCGCTCGTTGTTGTGAGCGTCGCTCCTCCGCCCTCCGTTGTTGTTGGAGGGCGACTGCCTCCAACTGTCCAGTAGCGTCCTTCACGAGCCTCCTCCACTGAGGCCGATCTTGACACCGCTGGTACCAGTCATCGGCAAGTCCACTCAGCTCCACGTCCTCCTGTACCACATCACTCCATCTCTTCTCTAGCCCGTGCCGCGCCCGTTTAGCCCCCTTGATCCGGCCGAACAAAAGCTGTTTAGGCATGCGGTGGCTGGGCATGCGGGCTACATGACCCAGCCAAAGTAGCCTTGCCTGCCGGAGGAGCTCACCGATGGGACTTTCAAGGATTTGTGAGCTCCTCACACAATCCAGCCTGGTTAAACCCAGGATGGATCGTAGGCAGGCCAGCCTAAATGTTTCCAACCGGCGAAGATGCTCCACTAGGGGGGTCCACGTTTCGCAAGCGTAGAGAAGGCAGGGAATGACCGTGGCCGAGAAGACCTGAAGCTTCGTGCGGAGCGACAGACCAGGTAGCTTCCACACAGCGTTACGCAACCGATGAAAAGATATTGCCGCTCGACTGATTCGGAGTGAGACCTCTGCTGATAAACTGGAGCCGGTCATAAGCACACTGCCCAGGTATGGGAAACTCTCCACTCTCTCCACAACTGCCCCATCACCAATTGGGAGTTGTGGGGGTGGAGTGTCCGATGGTACAAAATACCCAGGCAGGTGCTTAGTTTTGGTGGGGCTGATGGTAAGGCCCCACCTCTTAGTGGCACGCTCCAGTCTCAGCAGCAGCGTCTCCAATTCCTCTTCTGAATGAGCAGCTATTACCAAATCATCGGCATACATAACGTGGTTGACCAATAGGGAGCCATCCCTTGATCGCACCCGGGCATCGATCAGCCTCCCATTATATCTGTACCAAATGGAAATTCCCCCGGTACAGCTATTGAAGGCTTCACGAACTACGCGGTCAAAATAGATGTTAAATAATGTGGGAGCCAGAGGACATCCCTGTCGTACCCCAAGGTGTACAGGGAAAGGCTCCGACTCCCGGCCACGTAGTTTTACCCGGGCCCGCTCACCATCATGAAGGTCCTTAATGATCGTGAGCAGAGGGTCAGGGACTCCGAAAGCACGAAGAACAACCCAGAGCCCAGTCCTACTGATGGTATCATAGGCCTTGACCAGGTCAATAAAGCAGAGATGTAGGTCTTTTTGGAATTCCCTACACCTCTGCTGTAGCAGACGGACAGAAAATATGGCATCTGTGCAGGACCGCCCTTTCCTGAAACCGCATTGGGGCTCCGCAAGCCTCTCCTCAGCGTGCCTCGCAAGGCGATGTTGAATAATCCTTGCCAGGACCTTACCCGGTACACTGAGGAGTGAGATGCCCCTGTAGTTGTTACAGTCGGTACGGTCCCCATTTTTAAAGAGGGGGACCACCAGGGCATCCTTCCAGTCCTGCGGAACCCGTCCAGTGGTCCAGACTGTTGTTATGATGTCATATAGGGCAGTCTGTGCACAAACGCCACCCTCCCTCAGCATTTCGCTTGGGAGATCATCTCTGCCCGGTGCCTTCTCTGGTCTCAGACTCCGGATCGCCCTCAGTACTTCCTCAACAGCTGGCACCTCAGCCAGCCACTCACAGGGGGTGACCTCTTCCAATATTTGAGGCACCGCAGCCTCAGCAGGGTTATCACCACTTTGTACCATGATGTTTTCCTGGCTGAGAGAATTTCCCTCCCCCAGGACCTCACAGAAATGCTCAGCAAATCTGTAAACCTGTTCCTGGGGGTCGGAGATTGGATCACCGTTTTTTCCTCTAATGATGGTAATAGGTGTGGCGCTGCAGGTTACTTTTTTGATGGAGTTAAATAGTGATTTGTGATCACGGGCCACTGAGGCAGACTCCATCTCCTCAGTAACCCGCGACCACCACCCATCCTTACAGCGCCTTACGGCTCTCCGAACTTCCGAGCGAAAGCTGCGGTAAACCTCCTCATTCTCTGACGTGGGATGCTGTAGGCGATGAGAGTGGGCCTGTCGCTTTTTCTCAATTAACCTGAACACCTCCTCTGTCAGCCAGGGTTTCTGGGGAGGTCTGGACCGCGTACCCAAAGCAGCCATTGCAGCTGCATGAGTCACAGTCTTAAACCTCGCCCATTTACTCTCGACATCAGGTGGAGTGGGGGACGATGCCAACCCCAGCTGCAAGCGATGATGAAATTCTCGCTTGCAACTTTCATCAGCTAACTGAGACCAGGCCACTTTTGGTTGGAATGGGATCCTGGGTGTACACCCACCACCGGAGTGGAAGAAAGGCAGGCGCATCTTACAGATGACTAGTCGATGGTCAGAGGGCAGATCAGCTCCACGGTAGGTCCTGGTGTCAAGGACATGGGCTCGCATCCGCTGGTCCGTCACTATGTAGTCCAGCAGATGTTCTTGCTTGGACCCGGCATGTATCCATGATGTTGTGTGGATGCGCCGATGCCAGAAGAGCGTGTTGGTAATTACAAGCCCATGGGCTGCACAAAAATCTAGCAGCCTCGTACCGTTATTATTGAGCTGATCTGGCCCATGCCTTCCAATCACTCCAGACCAGGTGCCAGCATCATGACCAACTCGGGCATTGAAGTCACCCAACAAGATGACTCTGTCCCGAGTGGCCACTTTAGCCAGCACCTGTGACAGGAGGTCATATAAAGTGTCTGACTCATCGGCTTTGCCTGCATCCCTCCACGGATGTTCGTCTTCGGTTGGGGCATAAGTAACCACGACCACCACTCCTCGCCTCTGGTTGATGGGAAGGCGAGCCCAAAGTATCCTGGGGCTTACAGCTTCCCACACCTCACCGCCACGCTTCCACGCCCCCTTCATTCTTTTGTTCAGAAGAAGAACCACACCCTGTTGTTTGGCAGTCTCCTGCCCCGAGTAGAGGACTGTCCACCCCTCATGGTGGCAGGAGCCAGAACCGGTCCACCGGACCTCCTGAATGCCACAGAGATCCAGGCGGTACCGGTCCAGCTCCCGACAGAGGAGTGGCAGCCTCTCCTCCGCAGTGAGCGTTCGAACATTCCACGTGGCCATCCGCAATGGTTTTTTGTTGTTTCTGGAGGAGCCCCGAGGGTGAAAATTCAATCTCCTGGCTCCGCCAAACGGGGTTTGGCCAGGAGACGTCATAAAAGCCTGACCCCCCGGGGCCTCCGGCACAAGCTTATTAGTTA